ATAAATCTCCAATATTGTTTATTGAGAATCTGCATAGAAGAAGCAAGAAGTTAACCCAGATTTACCAAAAGAAATCGTAGTTTTACATAGTTAACATAGTTAAATAAAACTCCAATATTGTTTATTAAAAATAACCAATAGACTTACGGAACTACTTATTTATTTATTATTAACAGCGGATGTGGCACTACGACCATCGGCTCTATTGTGTGCACTTGTGGGCTTAGAGTAAGTTTCTAAGACCATAAAGGGTCAATAAAAAGTAGTATAGAACCTATTTTACAGAGTTTTATTACCGCTTCAGTAACGATAAACATTCCCAGGAGTCCATTTCGTGTGTACATTAGCGCAAGGCATTCTAACAGTACATGTATGGCTGCCTCTTTATTCTCTTCTCAGAATTTACAGTTTGCATTCATATATATACCCAGTCTTGTAATATTGTGTTTTAGTTTATAAAGTTTTGTTAAGATTCTAAGTTTTTCTCATGATAAGTCCATACAATCTTAATATCTCCTATTGTCATAGGTGGCAATAAATGACTTGGATTGTGCTAATCCTTTTAGATTATCCCAGTATTCCTTTTTATCTCATTATCCTTCATTTTTATGAGAGGAGGGTATTACGTCCTAGTCCACAGAATGGTTCAGGCCCCATCAGCAGTGTGACCTCTCCTTTCCTGGTTAGTTTGTCTGCATATTCATTTCCGTGTACACTAGTATGTCCCGGTACCCAGAGCATCGTCACCTGATTTAATTCGCCGAACAGATTTAGCTTTTCAAGCTATTTTTGTACCATTCTTGAGGTTATCTGATGTGAGTTTAGTACCTTGATCGCTGCTTGACTATCTATCAGTATTACGATAGAGAGTACTCTTGGAGGATATTTGTATTTTTGCTTAACGCTCCTTAATGCTTCTTGCTCGATCCGACTATGCTTACTTCGGAACCTTTCCCCATCAGCTGTTAGGTTTGTTTGACACCCTCCCAGTTCCTCAGTAAAACGAACTTTGGATTCATTGCGTCTCATGGCATTGACCACACAAGACACTGTTTAGCAAGATTTTCGAACCGTTAGAGATTGAGCCAGCTCTCTGTTAGATTTCATTCTTAGAACTGATCTTTCGGGTTGGAACTACTTATAGCACATCCTATACATATATCTTCCTACTGTTACGAATACTCTTATGGAAAACAATTTAGTTCTTCTGTATTTAGAGGTAACTGCAAATTTTCGTTATGTTCCAGTCGTCATTAAAGTATTCAAAATAAAAGGATGTTCATAAATAATGGCTCATAGGTAGTCAACTGTATACTGATGTTCTACAGGTGGCATTGCAGATATACGTTATGGGTAAGTAGCGATACACCGAAGTTCTTCAGATCTTCTAGGTAGGCGGTATACTCTCTGGTTAGCTTATTCGCTTGTGAACAAAAACTATTCTTTGTAGTACTAGTAGTTTTTTTTGCTAAGCTTTTCTTATGTGTAATCACTTCGTTCGCTTATGAGTTTCGGAGCCACTCGATATCGACAACCAACAGACACTTAGACCGGAACTTCATCGTTCACAAGGCAATCAAAGCAACGAGGCTTCGTCAGTGACAGAAGTTATATCTGAACTACAATCAAAACAATGTAATATAAGTTTCACGTTTTCGAAAGGAGGTGAACATGTTAGGTATCCCCGAAAACTATTAGAAATGCAATAACAACAACAATAACTACTAATGTTGAGGAGTTTTCGACAATTAACAGTATGTCGTGCTTCAATATAAGAAATCTGTTTTGTGTTGTCTCTATTACCAAATACGAGTGGAAAATATTGAACTTAGCGACACTTCCATTTTCAGAATATCAGATATGTAGGAAGTACGTTATATACGTATAAGGCAGTTGTCATGTGTGCAATTGTTTTGTTGTGTGCATTTCCAATTTAATTTGATTTTATTTGGAAATATTTTTATAGTTGCATGAAGAGTTTGTTTTTGTTGTCCTTATTTTAGGGAAAAGTCACGATTTATTTAAATGAAATGTCTTGAAGTATCGCATTCGCTTTGGGCAGTAATAAAATTGTCTGTCTTTAGGGGTTACCTATCCTTTGATCTAATTGTCGACGAGTATGTATTCACATGCTTATGAATTTATGATTACGAGTATGGAAAATAAGCTCTTTAATATGTAAAACTATACATTTTCGTTGCTACAATCTATAAATTTTCCACTCGTTTGGGTTGTGTTGTCCTTGTTGGCATTAATTCCATGAATGTTTGCAATATATTAAACATACGTTAGAAAAATAGACGTTTAGTTTGTGTTAAAATAACCAGAGGTTAACATCTTGTTTACGGATAAATTAAAAAATTTGTTTGTTAAATATAGAAAAGTTCTAAGAAAAACATATTAAGTGCTTGTTTTATAACTGATTCTGTAGATTGGTGTTAGATTTCAATCTCTGTGGATATGATAGATTTAGATATTGGTCTTGTTACTCTGTAGTGTTCTTTTTTCGGGCTCTAAATATTTTTTGTATTATTTAATTTTTTAAATTTGGGTATGTAATATAATAATAAATTCTATTAAATTTTGTAGAAAAGTAACTGCTTTATAACAAAGATATAAAATGTTGTTTATGTGTAAAAAGACTTCCAGAGAAACTTTTAAATTTAATATTTTAAATACTTCAAAGCACTTCTGGTGGTGAACCAGACAGAATGAAAAACATAAATATAAATGGTGTTTCTTTCAGTCACTCACAGTTTTTGCCGCCTCATATAATTTAGAAGAGTTTATATTATATTATATATGCAGTTCCCTAGTTTTGCATATAGTACTGACATCCCGAAGGCTGAACACTGCCAATGAGACACGCAATGATATGTTTTTGAACACGATGTTCGATTGCTGTTAATGAAATTTAATTGATAACTGATAATTGTACTTCGATAGCCGAATAAACGCGATATATACATAGGTTTACCATAAATAACTATATAGGGCTTGTTCTTCCTATGTTATAGTCCATTTCATTAAAAAAGCTACTAAACGACTACAAATAACATGCCAAAAAAATGACTAAAACCGGATTGTTATGTTATTTGAAAGTCAATATATATAATAGCTCTATACATATGTGTGTTTATCCATATAAGAATATAGTATGTGAATATATATATGTTAATCAAAAATTTAGTGTTGTAGTTTTTAAAATGGTGGCAACACAATGTCCATAATTTGCTTACTGTCAGCTGATTTTATTGTTTACATGAAATTTAAATAGGTATATATGATAGCGTTTTATATGAGCGGGAAGTCACAAGTGACTAATGTTAGAGCTCTTGAGTATTTTGATGTGAACAAATTATTCGAAACTCGGATCATAGTATGTTACATTAAAATGAAAGTAGTAGTGCCGTAAAACGAGTTCTTCTAAAAAATTCTTTACAAGTGGGCCGCTAAAAATATTTTATAAGAATAATTATGAAATTCATAAAAATAAAAACGTAAATATAATAATAAAAATTGCCGCTTCAGCTCGATTGTCCATTTTCTATAGTGGTTATGGCAGAACTGGTGGTAGTACTCGAAAAAAAATGCATCTGCGGCAGAAATGGCTTATAGAAACTTAAGACTCGACGTCAATAAAATTCTTATAAAAAACAAATTGCTTTGTTGTCAAAAACAATACAGTAAGAAATACTTAAAAACGAACATGAAGTCCTCACTTCTAAAAAGTACAATATTTCATCGATACTTCAATGAACAATAAATAACTATAGCTAGAGTGAACATTGGTGGACATTTCAACACTAAATGTAGTGGTAAAGAAACAGTCCAGTTTCAATTAACAAAGATCCTTAAAATAACATAATTTTGAGAAATCACAACTACAATAACAATTATTTAAATAAAATACATAATAATTTGAGAAAGTTGAAAGTTGTAATAGAGTAAAAATCAATCTATTATATATTGAATCCATTATGTGGGAATATAAACTTATACTCTTGAAAAGTGGATCAAATTTAAATTTAAATGGTTAGTTTATGGAATATTTAGGTTTAAACTCTAGAGTAAAGACTCTACAGTTTCTTTAGTTTAAACTCTACAGTAAATCTTTAAAGTTAAACTTCTATTAATATAAGACGCAACTAAATGGATATCGGAGAAAGTCACTATTCGGTAAAATAAATAAATATACTCAATGACAGTCAGGCTGCGCTCAAATCAACAGAAACAAAGAAAGCTAAGTAGAAATATGTACTTAGCTTCTACGGGTATGTCAGTGGGTAGATAACTGCATGGCAGCAATATAACCGATCCTATGGGTAGTATGGTATAGTAATATTGCTAGAGACAATACTACTGATGAATTGACGGAACTAAGTGTAAATATGCTTAAGCATCTTTAAAGGAACCTAGTAAGCTCAAAGTTTGCATGAGACAATCCACTAAATTGATAAATTAGTATTATGACTGTAATCTGTTTCTATACTGATAAGAATAGTAATGGGATATTGTATACGAGCACATGCTATACTTTATAAGTATAACAGCCCAAGTACGAAGAAGATATCTTATATCACCAGCTAGGTCTATGTTCTGGTCTTACAACTGTCGGCAAACAACTTATTAACATTTGTCAATGCAAAAATTCTAAAATAGCTAAACTTCATTAAATAAGAAAAATGTATAAGTGAACCTATAAATGAATTATATAAATTATAATTATTAATAGTTATTAAATTATTTATAAAAAATAAATAATGTAAACGGCATCACAAAGAGTCTGAAAATATGTCTAATAGGAACTACTTTCTTAAGTTCCTATTATTGTATATGATAAATTCATATTTACACACACATTATACTATATTAAATAGAAATAAAAAAGTAGGCCATAAAAAATTAATTTAAAAAATCACAAGTTATATTTGATTTTTTTGTTAATGAAAATTTTTTGTTTATTATTATGTGTTGTTCTAAAAAAATTGATAATCCAAATTCTTACGTCGTCACATTTATTTCAAAAATTTTAAGTCTAGAAGAGATAAATATAAATTAGTATTTTCCATTAACCGCGTTTCGTATATAGAAAGGAGTGACACCCTGCAGTTACTTTTCTATTTTATAGAGAGCAAAAAAATTGTATCCAATAATCCTTTGCAGATTCGTTATGCCAACTTCTGATAACAAAATTATTTCCGCTCACAATGGGTAAGTCTTTTTTTTTTCTCTAAATATAGATAGAATGAAGCGTTTTTTATGGATTTAAGGTTTGTAAATAACTAGTTTTAATATAACTTATCTAAAATCATTGTTTGTTAAAATCGTTTTCTCATTTTTATCTAAAGCACATAGAGATAGATTTCTGAAGAAAGCAAAATTTATCAAGGATGATGAAATTATAAAGTCAAGAAATAAATTCATTCGTTCAAGGATACGAGTTGAGAATTTGAAAAAAGTTTTATTGTCTAAACGGTAAATTATTATTAATCGGAATGTTGAAGATTATAGTAAAATATATTAATTTAGTCAAAAATAATTTTATAAAATTATTAAGACACACTCACCTGTGGCGAAATTAATATATTAATTAATAATTAATAATTTTTTGAAATACTTTCTGTTTCTCTTAATTTTACCACAAACAAATATGGAATGATATGTTTGATTAAAAATATATCGAAAATTCTTATTTGAACCCAGAGCACCTAAGATATTTAAATAAATTTTTTTAGTCATGGAAGATAGATAAGATAGAGTAAATAGATCTAAAACTGTTACGACATTCTCTCAAAAAACTTTCTTATTTTAAATAAAATGTTTTGTAGTTAATAAAAAAAATCAAAAGAAATATTTTTTAATATTTATATAAAAAATAGATATGTCTATTATTATAAGATACACAAATATTTGTTATTAACATATTTCTTTAATATTCTTATATATTTTGTACATCATATATGTGAACAGTATATATTTGTTTTTAAATGAGTACACAAGTTAGTGTGTATAATAACTAAATTTTGTTGTGATGGGTTAGGAAATATTTAATAGGCGTTTTTATTTTTGGTAATTATATATACCAAAACTATCTTTATTAATCTAACTATTACTTGTGTTTCCGACCTTTGGAATTTTTTAATAAGAACCTGATTCTCATTACTAGCTTCACGTTATGATTCTCTTTCTCATTCGAAAACACCTGAGAATGTGATTCTTTTATTGTAAAATATCTTAGAATATCTTCTTTAAGGTCTATTTTACATCAACCAAAGACTTTTACACAGATTCGAAGAAAAGTTAATCTGATTGTGTTATTGTCAAAACAGTATGGTTGATTTATTAAAACTTTCTAGCCCAGTTCTATCAATTTTAATCGTCATCAAACATGTGTATACGATGAAATATTACAACACCTTACCACTTGATCGAATTCATCCTCTTTATCAAGAGAACTCTAAAGTTCTAAATATTTTTAACAAAAGAGATTGAACTCAAACGTTTGATTAGGTGGTAACAGATAATACCACTGCAATATTCCCAAACACACAAAATCACTTTCCTTGTAATTAATGATATTTTCGATATCATTCGTTTTAAATCCGTTTAACATTATCTTATCCGCTGCACTTCTTACTATCCACTGTAAACTTCAACAATATGTTCGATTTTGTTCTGCTTCAACCGGAGTTTTAAATTCAGGTCTAATAATTTTTTTTGCACCCTGTGGTGGTACCTCATTCCGAAATATCGTGCTTTTCTTTACTTTTTAATAATCTTATGGTTAATTTTTATTTCTTAGTGATATAGTAACTACTTACATACCATATTTTTTGAATACTCTACGCGCTTTAAGTGACCTTTCTTGTAATATCTTAAATGCGGCACGAATAATTTATATTCAGTTAATTCAGTTAATTTATATTCAGTTCATAATAAAGTTGTAATGTATGTTGGATTCTTGAAAAAATTCTAAACATCCTTTAACTTTTATAACGAATAAACAAATATTCAGTAATAATCAATTAATTCATCATTCGTCAAACACAAAGACGACTTCCAAATTCAACAAACCATTTCAAGCATTTCAACAAACCCATTTCTATTATACATACATACATACATCCTGTGTTTTTACGTGATTTCCTGCCTTGATGGCTTAACACCACGGTGCTCTTAACACACGTATTATTTTAAGCGTCAATCAACGCCCCATTGGAATAGCCTTCCTTATTCCGCCGGTACCAATGAAGAAATTCATGCAAGTTATAACTTCCACCTTGGTAAGATGCGAGGCCTACCAACTACCTCTGCTGATCTTTGGGTCACAGCACCCGGTTTGAAACGCACACCACGGCGAATGAATGACAAACAAAACATTCTTCCCGCGTGACTTTGGGTATTAACCACAACCACTTCGAGTCCAACGCCAATGGTCAGCACAGCCGAAGCTGTCGGGCCACTGACTCCCGAAGTACCAGATAGTATCATCTCTGGTCAAATGTCGCAAGTTGCCGCCCACAACTCACTACCATTTACACTTCTTGCATAAGTGTCAGATTGGCACTGGGGGATATTAGTCGCCTCTTACGACAGGCCATCCTAACCGCCGGAGTATTCTTTTCCCCTCTCCGCAGGGAACCATTTCAATTATAATAGTATTATATAATTATTGCCTTCTCTATTTAAAAATCTACACATGTACACTTTAGATCAAGGTTGAATTAGATATATTCTCTAATCACAGTCGAAATTTTTTTTAGTAAATTATTTTCAATTCCTTCTATTATTAATGGTTCTTAGTACTATAATAGTAAGTTTGCTATGAATTAAAAATTTTTCCTTAACTATCTCATAATTATTCACTCAAAAAAACGTTTATAGGTCTCATAAAACTCTTTAAACAATATATTTTAATACCGCAGATATAACACATTTGATTTAGGATATAAGATAATAGTATAATGCAAATTTTTTTGTAATCATTTATGTTGCTTTATTCATATTATTGATTTAATTTTCAATTTTAGAAATAGCGAAACTGAGGTAGTTGACAGTGAATGGGTTGCAAGTGGAAAATTAGGAACACGCGATGCTGTTCTCAAGTTTCGTACCAACATCCTCAATTCAGACATTTCCGCTACATCAGAAATTCAAGATTCAAATTCAGACAACAACGCAGCTGATTCCAAGAATCCCGTCAGCGGTTCATCAACCACTCCTCAGTTATTTGATGGTCGAGGTCGAAGCAACAGCATAGTTACAAAATCCGCAAAAGAATCTGCTGAGTCTGAGGATACTGAAGCGGATTTAAATGAGTCGGGAGATTTCCAATGTGATTCAGAGTATTCAAATCATGAAGCTGATGAGGGTAATATCGACTTGCCATATTCGAGAACGATGCCTGCACACGTACTTAAAATAACGTATAAGTTTATGCAAACGGAGACCAGATTAATTAGGAAGATTTTTAATAGACATGGTTTAACTGAAGTACAAAAAGATGAAAATTTTAGTATACTATGGACTGGTGTTCATATAAAGCCAGATATTCTTCGAAATCTGGCACCATACCAAAGAGTTAATCACTTTCCACGGTATGTGGTGGTAATGTTAATTTCATTAAAACTACAAATATGGATTGTGTAGCATAATTCTAAATAATTATATTGTTTTCTACCAATTTAGATCGTATGAGTTGACCAGAAAAGATCGTCTTTACAAAAATATTGTACACCTTCAACATTTGCATGGATTTAGAAGTTTC